TATATATATATATATATATATATATATATATATATATATATATATATATATATATATATATATATATATATATATATATATATATATATATATATATATATATATATATATATATATATATATATATATATATATATATATATATATATATATATATATATATATATATATATATATATATATATATATATATATATATATATATATATATATATATATATATATATATATTATATATATATATATATATATATATATATATATATATATATATATATATATATATATATATATATATATATATATATATATATATATATATATATATATATATATATATATATATATATATATATATATATATATATATATATATATATATATATATATATATATATATATATATATATATATATATATATATATATATATATATATATATATATATATATATATATATATATATATATATATATATATATATATATATATATATATATATATATATATATATATATATATATATATATATATATATATATATATATATATATATATATATATATATATATATATATATATATATATATATATATATATATATATATATATATATATATATATATATATATATATATATATATATATATATATATATATATATATATATATATATATATATATATATATATATATATATATATATATATATATATATATATATATATTATATATATATATATATATATATATATATATATATATATATATATATATATATATATATATATATATATATATATATATATATATATATATATATATATATATATATATATATATATATATATATATATATATATATATATATATATATATATATATATATATATATATATATATATATATATATATATATATATATATATATATATATATATATATATATATATATATATATATATATATATATATATATATATATATATATATATATATATATATATATATATATATATATATATATATATATATATATATATATATATATATATATATATATATATATATATATATATATATATATATATATATATATATATATATATATATATATATATATATATATATATATATATATATATATATATATATATATATATATATATATATATATATATATATATATATATATATATATATATATATATATATATATATATATTATATATATATATATATATATATATATATATATATATATATATATATATATATATATATATATATATATATATATATATATATATATATATATATATATATATATATATATATATATATATATATATATATATATATATATATATATATATATATATATATATATATATATATATATATATATATATATATATATATATATATATTATATATATATATATATATATATATATATATATATATATATATATATATATATATATATATATATATATATATATATATATATATATATATATATATATATATATATATATATATATATATATATATATATATTTACTGAGTGGATTCTAGCAGCAAAGGATTCTGCACGCTCTACAGGTCAGCAATTTCTTCAGCTTTGAAAGGGGCTGTCATTGTGCAGCAGTACTCCATTCTAGAGAACACTAGCATCTTGAAGCCAGAGTGTATTCATACACATTAGGCTTATTTCGAGGTCCTTTTCCCCAAGGTCAAATTACTGACCCCGCTCAGGATGCAACCCCACAACAAGCTAACTCATGAGTACCTACTTATTGCTAGGCGATAGGAAATGCACCCAACCATTTCTGTCCCACTCGGATTCGAGCCCGGAATTCTTGATTGTGAGTCGAGAACAAACCCTACTGTACTACCCTCAACCCTCATATATACAACAGCGGCACTCTAATGTTTGGGGCAGGATTGTGGAGGTGTATTTGGCTATGCTCTATGCAATACTCACAAAAAACTAGATGTGATGATAGGAAGAACAGTGAGAGAGGTGAAGAGGGCAGCTAGGTTGACCAAAGTCTCCTGGCTGCCATCCTTTGCCGACACATCTGCCATGTTATCTCGACGAGCCTGCCAGAACCCATCGTACTGTAGTCATGCTCAGATTACAACTTGGTTATTTTAGCCCTTTTGCTATGACACCTGTTTTGCTCCTAGATGTTACTGAGGGTTAAAATGGGCCTAAATATGTATTTTCAAATTTTGTACAGGGTATTAAATTTTTACACTAATAAAAAAATTGACCCCCACTATTCATTTGTACCATTAAAAATCCTTACCCTGCAGTAATTAGGGACCTGGATGTAAAGTACAGTAATAGACTTTAAGAGGCAGAGGAAAACTAAATAGACTAAATTAGGCAAAGGAAGGAAGAGCTTTCCTGCAAACAAGAGAAAGAATTATGCCCTTGTGCCCTTAGTAGCATACACCAAAATATAAATAAATGTCAACACTTATCAGTGTTACTGCACCAACACTGTACCTGGTGCAAAGTGAGAGCTGCTCGTGTTGCCCCACCAGCTACTCCTACTAGTGACGACATCACTGCTGAGATACACATGACAGACAGGAATGGTATTGGCAAGACAGGTCCAAGAAGCCTTAAAAGGTGGCTAGAGTCATTGGCCACATCAGCAAAAAGACGCCATTGCTTACTATTACAATCCAACTGTGATCTGAAACATATTTAGTTTACAATATAATAAATAATGAACATTATAATAAATATGAATTAAATGTTCGTGCAAATCAAGATTAAAAACAAGATGGTATACTTTCAGAAATCTGTGCATTAAAAATATTACATAGTACTCTTCGCTAGAAAATAATACTTTTCTCTGTGCAACTAACCCTCTCCAGTAAGCAAAAGCAATGGAAGCCACCATCCCAGACCCATCCTTCATGAGCCATGTGAGAGTTGCTGCAAGAGGTGTGGCAGTGCCTTCCCCTACTCCTAAACCAATCAGGGTTGCCTGTAGGCTCAATGCTCCAGCAATGCTGCTGCAGTAGGCCTAGATGTGAAATAATTAGACAAAATGTAGGCGTATGTTTAGTTTAGTCTGTTCAGAACAATAAAATCCATTTTTTATACAAATGTTTACTACAATATTTCCAAAAATGTTTAAAGGTGAGAATTTTAATTCATAATTAGAATTATAAACCTCAAAACACAGTGTTTTGAAGTGTAACCTTCAAATCTGACTAGAAGAACAAACTGCCCAAATCAGGAAACAAAATTATTTGACAATGTAACAAAGTTGAAAGGCAATTTTGTTTATTTTCTTAATTTTTCCAATGTGTAAAAATATACTTGTAAATACAATACTGTCTATGCTACATCATCTACAGAGGGGTTTTATAAATAAAATGGATTTAATACAAGTAACATAAATCTACCTGTGCAGTGTCCCACATCTGGTAATGAAGGTAGTCAGGAGATACAGACTTAGGGTACCCCTGCGGGAGAAATACATCTTGCAACCATCTACTAGCATGATCTTTTACAGAGGCTGCTTTGTTTCTGAAAAAAAAGAGTTTAATTACAGGCATTAATCAAATTACCATCAACTACCAATGTAAGAAATATAATTAATCAGTACTATACTATCTGTAATAACAAGACATTTTAATACAATTCCTATAAGAACAGCACATTTTAAAACAATCTTCAATACATTCTAACCTTTTCTTGTCATCAGTGATGAGGATGAATGCACTGGTGCGCTCTTGGTATATGTAGGTCATCTGACAAGCAGATGACCCTTTTCTCTCCTGATATAGGAGTAGTCCATCATTTGTCTTCATAGAGAATCTAGAAAGATTAAATTATATATCACATATTTACTCAATACAAAGTGTAAAATTCCAAAAATTAAACAATTAAACATTAAAGTTCTAAAATATGTTATACAGTATATGGTATTCATAAAAAAGTGTCATTACAGTAGTTATTATTATGGTTGAATAATATTTAGGCCTCGGGCCAGGTACTAGAACCTGTACATTAAAAAACTTCAATACATTTCATTTTAATTAATATACATGTTGTTTTACATGGTTATAACACTTCCCTCACCAGAAGACATCTTTCTAAAGCATACATATTTTATGAAATTAAATAAAAAATTAAAATCATACACAAATACAAACTTGATATAGTAGCCAAATCAATGGCCCATATATGTTTTTTATATAGTAGTTGTAAATTGACTAAGTGGCTGACAGGTGTATATTGTTAATGTCATGAAATTGGTCTGCCATGAATTTTTTTTATTCAATTGTATAAAATCATATCATTAGCTTTCATTAGTAAGAACTTTACCAAAGGTAAGCTAACGATGGAGTGCATCTATTGTGAAAATAATGAATTATTTTGGCAGCATGCAATGCTTGTCCATATCAAGAAGTGTGAATACAGTGTCATATAATGGTATTCTTAAATTTGATTTCAGATTTAGGAACATAAGGTAATTGACAATTTTTTTTTAAATCTAATCAAACTTTTCCTAACTCATGACATACAGGTATTTTATTTATTTATTTATTTATATATATACAAGAAGGTACATTGGGATTGTGAGGATACATAGGATAGTAATTACAATCTTGTAAAGCCACTAGTACGCGCAGGTATTAAGAATATGTGAGCATATTGTATGACGGTTTATAGAGCTGTCAGAAAATATATAATATACAGCATTAAATAATTTATAGCCAAAATGGGTATATGACTATATCCTTCCCAACAAGGTACAGTAAAATCTATTTAATTAATATTTTATGACATATTGTTCAATTCCAAACACATTTCTAAACTAAACCAACCATCTTAATTCTGCCTCAACCTAGGAAAGTCAGGCTAGATGGATAGGCTGTAGGATGAACCTCCAGACTTTCGCTAAGGCTAGTTTGTTGTAACAAATCATATATCGGCAGGAAACTTTGGGTATGGCATAGATAACTAACACTTTAGAAGGAACACTGCTAATGTAGTAAGAGACGTAGAGCAGTAGCAACCAGCTGACAGCGTCCAGCTGTCAGGGTTTGTTTACATCTTGCTACTAAACTTGCCTCATACTTAACTCTTTGAATCCACGATAATCTACCGATCTATTTATAATCAAAATTTAACCAATATTATATGTTAATTATAATTATGATTATTATATATTAATTTTATAACAGTTTATATATTATATATTAGCTTTATTTGTATGGAGCACGAAGCTTCGGCGCGGGGTCGTCACAAGTCGCATGGGGATGCTGTTGGAACTGTTGGTCCGGGAACAGGATCAAGCCAAGTCGCTCTCGTATTCCTCTTGCTCTCAGTCAATCTTTGAATTTGTGTCGAGTGTTCGTGTTTCTCCTCGTTTTGGTGATGTTCTAAAAGGGTAAGTTGAGAAATCTGTATAAATCTCTTGCGGGAACATCGTATTTCAGTCCTTGTTCATCGGCTTGTGGTCTTGGGTTCAGGAGTGCTTGTTCCGTAGATATTACTGCATGAAAGCAGTAGCCCAGCATAGACGAATTGTGTATGCATTATGAGGATAACTTTAAAAGCATGGGAGTGGCTAAAGCAATTGCAAAACTCCAGGTACATTATATCGGAAGGTCTGAAAGGGTCTAATGGTTCGACGTTCAATAATGTGGTGTGTGAGATCATGACCCAGTTCATGCTCAGAGTTGACTTAGTCTAGGGTATAGCTGTATAATGCAGATGTACAGTACTGAAGAATGTTGATACAAAACATATTCACATGGCTTCCTGTAGAACTAACCATCCTGTGAGATGAGTTTACTATTATATAATAACCCTTCATATAGCCTCTGGTAGGTGCATAAATGCACTTTTGTAACTTAATACAGTACATTTGTTACAGAAGCTGCATATGTACAACTTTTTTTTTTTTTTAAATAGGGTAATATGCATAATGCACAAGTTGTCCAAACTAATTTCAATCAGTTCTCTGCAACTGTACAACTGAACATTTATTCATGATATAAAGTATTGCAACTGCATTTTGTTTTTGCACAGCCCACTAATTTAGTTAAAAAAGGAAGATCCTGTCTCAATCTGTGACTTGAAATCCAGACCCATGATTGGGTTTACGTAAATACTTACAGAGTTCTATGTAGTACTGTAAATGGGCAAAATCTGTGTTTTTGAGGACCTAGTAAATAAAAAAAAGTACTGTATAATAAATGTTTTAAATTTAGATTAAAGATAAATTAAACTTCTTTTGTAAATAGCATAATAGCCTTTGCATAGAATGACAAATGCCAAGACTTGTAATTCAGAAAGAGAAAAAACAAAATAAACCAAGCATGAAGAATCCTGGTGTATAAATGTGTGTACAATATAGTATGAAATAAATCTATGGTACATAGAATAGCCTTCATGAATTGGCTTATTAGATCTACTACAACTCTTTCGTTAACAATTTCAGGTAAAATATTAGCTAATTAAAATTAACATTGATATGTGTAAATGTTGAAAACAAAAGGTTTGTAGAACTTGCTGCGGACTACAGCGATGTGATTTATTTCATGAACAGAGGATAAGTTCATTTTAACAGTTGGCAAAATCTATTACAAAGTTTGCTGCAGTTGTCAAAACAGCAAGAGTAAAGAAGATATCTGCTATCTGCACATATTTTTAGGGATGCCTTGGTTTGAGAAAAAAAAAAATGTGCTGCAAATGCGAGCCAGATTGAGTTGCCAAAAACTAAATATATCTGATCTTGAGTTCTTCATGTAGGTTTTGTTTATACAGTTCAGTAAATAGTTGCTCTCGTAGTAAAAGCTCAGATTACATTACATATTCTGAAAGTGTCTTCCATATTTAGTAATTCAAATGTTTTGTTTACTTCCTTTATAACTAACATGCATTACTATAAATTTGATACTACATGGTCTTACTATTTCCCAGAAAATGTTCTCGGTAAAAATTAATTTACTGTCACCTTTGGCATGAAATGTTACAAATGAAAAGGTTAGTTTTTTAATACAGTTCAGTATGTGGTTGTCAGCTCCTTGAGAGAGAGAGAGAAAGAGCACCAACAGTCATAGTGTCCCATTGACTGGAATAGGAAGCTTGTTAAGCTTTGTCGAGCATCTTATTACCTTTGTATTTGTTATTGGTAAAGGCATTACCTTTGTATTTGTGTTTCTATAGAGTACTGTACTTGAAAATGCAGTGGAATGATATTCTTTTTCTTGGTATGAAATTACTGTATAGAGCTGTACTTGTATAAATTGTATATAAGTTCCAAAATACTACATACATGTGGAAACGTATTCTTCGTCACAATGGTAAAAGTATTGATATATTTTTCTTCATTTATACATATAATGAAGGCATGAAAAGTTAATTGTTCATTGGTATAATCAGTCTAATTAAGAATGTGTTCTCATCATGAAAATTACAACAGTATATGAATTTGGTTTAAATTGTGAGCTAGATTCAAGCCAAGTACAGAAGTTTGATGCCCCCATGCAGATAGTTAAATATGAGCCTTGGGAAGGGAAGGGCAGAGATAATTACACCAGCCGAGAATCACGTGTTCGAAATTAGCAATGACGGTGCCGATGATATATGCAAATTACTACACCCCGAGCTCTGAATAAATGACGTGTATAGTGTCTAAGACGAAACTGGGAATTACATATATGTAATATATGTGTATATATATATGTGTATATATATTTATATACCCACAGTATACGTGGTATATGTGGGAGAAAGATGGAAGAGAGAGGGGGAGAGGTGGGATGGAGGTGGTCGACTGGTGTTACTGCTGCTGCTGCTGCTGCAGCTGGCGGCGGCAGCGGCGGCGGTGACATCATGGGTATTTTTAGCCAGTATGACGTCGCCCCCACCTTGTTGGCCGTATGGCGAGGCACGCTGCTCGCTCTTGCTCCACACACAGCTGATTGTGCAGATAAGAGGTCAAATGGGGGCGTGGCTACAACCCCCCCTCGATATCACTCTTGTAATATTTGTTGTGGTCATGTGACCCGCTTCCCTATTACGTCATTGCTTTCTTGAGAGGGGAGGGGTGAGGTGGTGGTGGTCTTGGGAGGGATGTGAGGGGGTGGGGGGGGGAGCTTTGTTGGGGGGACGGGGTGTTGGCAGCCGGAGGGTGCTGGTGGGGGAGGGGGGCCGTGGTTAGGTAGGTGGAGGGGACTTATGTTAGCGAGGAGGAAGTTGACAATATTTGATATTAATAACCTTTATTTACGACGTATGTACGTAGTGTAAGACTTACGTTCAATCAGTAATTTAATGGACTGTATTTAATAGGCTATGCTATAAAATGGAATGGATAACCACAGTTCAGTTACAGTTTCTAAAGTATTCAAGCTAGGTACATCATGAAAGCCATTAATACTCTAGTGGTTTTAGCAATACGGCGCCTCCCGTATGGCGAGGCTGGCCTCCTGCTGTGGCAGGGAGAGGCCAGCAGTGCCTGCCGTAGGGGGGGAGGTGAGGTGCAGGCTTGGTAACCTGCAGGGGTCGCCGAGGGCACGCCCCGCTGCAGTCACATCGCGGGACTTGAAATACAACTGTGGTAATGGAGATGGATTTACAGAGGGCGCTGTAATATGAGGCAAGACGAGGTGGGGGTGGTGGGACATTATATGTGGTATGATCGTTCATTAAGCAAAAAGAATGAGTGTGGAAGAGTGGGACTAGGATACAACGGCAACAATGAATTGAATGTAAGTCCGGTTAAAAGTTGGAAGCTTGGGTCTGTGTTGTATCTGCGGACCTTGCATGCATGCTACTCACCCCGAGGAGTTTGGGATGGTTATTCAAAGGTCAAGATATAGGGTACTTAAAATCAGGTAAATTCAGGTCAAATATTATTTTCTCTGGCGTTGTATGCTTCTAGCTGCTTAGCAGAACGTGTTCTGAATCTGTACTGGGGGGTTGACGTCGCAATGATGATTAGTTTATTTTCAACAAGAGATGTGGCGACGCAGTAATGCTAACCAGCATGTATATACATTTTCTTTTGTTCTCCAGTGACAGGACTAGAGATCTGTTACACTACGCACAGTGTATAGTGGGTTATTGAGCATCAACCACAGTGGTCTACGTACTCGGCTCATCAACCCAGAGGTTGATTTTTGATGATTGTTGCTGCCGGAGGCATATTGAACTATGGGGGGGTGTTACACGATAAACAAAAGTTTATTGTACAATTTACTAAAGTTTGTGTTAAATTGTTTGTGTAACACCCCCATAATTTATTGTGGGGTAATAATTTATTAACACCAACACCCCATAATTTATTGTCACTCAATAAACTAAAGTTTATTATGTAATAACCCCATACTCATCCTGTGAGCGATAGCACAAAAAAGGCTTACAGAGGGCACAAAAGGTCGTTCTCCGAGAGACCCAAGTTTAATCCTAGAGGACAGAAACGGTTGGACACGTTTCATTTCACCCGATGCCTCTCTTCACCTGGTTGTAACCCGTTCTCGCAAATTCGTAAAGTCAATATTGACTTATTAACTACGTGCATAGGTGATATACTAAACATAATAGATACCCTTAAAAAGATTCATAGAAAACACCGACCTTATCTAACCTTGTTAGTATCTTAAGATAAGCATCTTATTGCTTCGTAATTACAATTATTACTTAACCTATACCTATTATAGGTTAGGTAATAATTGTAATTACGAAGCAATAAGATGCTTATCTTAAGATACTAACAAGGTTAGGTAAGGTCGGTGTTTTCTATGAATCTTTTTAAGGGTATCTATTATGTTATTAAATGTGTGCATAGGTGACATACTTAAGTCAATATTGACTTATTAAATTTGCGAGAACGGGTTGCAACATAGGCACCCGGGAGTTAGGAAATTGTTGTAGGAAGGTCAGTAGTTGATCAGTGAGGGGGGGAGAGGGGAACCTCGGTAAGTCCAAGGCTTCCTGTCCCCAACAACA